ACGATTTCAGACGATTATTGAGACACGTTTATTTTAATTCTATAAACAGGTAACGTGAACAACTTTTGATTTACGTCGTATAGAAAAGGGAAGTGATTATTATCAATAAAAAAACCTCTTATCAAACATACTTGGATAATTTTCAAGATGTGTAGAAGAAAAACAATAAAGGCTTAAATATGTATATATTAGAAGCATTGTCGTAATCTCTGAAATGTAGAGTGCGAACAAAAAAAAATACTATGTGCAACCTCTAAGATATGTATGTATATTGAATACTTCCAAGTGTATAAACATAACATGTAAAAAGTATACACAAACAATATCTGTAAAGCGTATTTAATGTTTTACTTATAAAACAAAACTGAAAAATCAACGCTATGCCTAGTAAGACCATCCACCTATAGAACCATAGTAATACAATCTGCGTAGTAGCATCATCTGCCTACAGAAACACAGCCTGCCTTTGGAAAAATTATTTAAGTTAAAACTATAAAGTAACATGTATATAAATAGCATAAAGCCTAACTGATGAAATAGTAAGTTTGTCATTAAAAACTGGTTTTACTTTTAACATAATTAAATCTAGATATTGATGATATAATCACATGTTGAGACACTCTATCATGAGATCATCATCACGGCTTAGTAAAGCGCCCTCTAGTGGCACTTCGTGACTCTAGCAACACACTTTCTGAACAACTTCCGTTGTCATGACAACATCCGCCTGTTATGGGTCCAGCGCCCTCTGGTTCTACTTTGTGGAACTATAACATCACGCCTGTCTTAGCAATGCACTCTTAGGTAACACTTCATTGTCATAATCATTATCAAAACCTTGTCGAAACGGTGTACATTTGCTGTTATGTTAAACTTATATTAAAGTTTTTCTTCATTACCCATTCAAGCCGTCTCCAGCAATTATTAGTCTCAAAGTGGGTTCCTCGTCATCGAATTTCAAAAGGGCAGACTGTGTTTCTATAGGTGGATTGTGTTACTAAAGATAGTGTTTGTATAGACGAATGGCATTGCTAGGCGGATTGTGTTACTAAGATTTTATAGGCAAATGTTGATACTAGGTGCGTACATGTCTTACAAAGGCAGACTGAGTTTAACAGGATTGCATAAAGATTTCAACTTATATTTAATTGCGTACATTTTACAAAGATGTTTCTATACTTCCATAGGACAGCATGCAGGTTTCAACATGTTTCATTTTATAAATCCATCATGTCTACTGTAAAATGTCTATACTTTACAACCAAAACAAGCTGTATGCTCACTATACTTTAACTCTGACAATGAAGAATGGATTTTGTATGTTACTGAACTTTTACATTGTACAGTAGACATGATGGATTTATAAGATGTCAATTGCATTTCCCTGTAGATAATACATTTTATCTTAAGAAACGACAAACTTTGTCAAGAACTTTTTTATTGTTATCACAGTTATTTTATAGATTTTGTTTGTCCTTAAAATCTTCAAAGGTAGGATACATGCACATTGATTTTAATAAATCTTGGATAAAGTCGTCTTTTTCTACACTATCCCAAAAACTTTCATTGATAAAATCTGTTAAATTTAACTGTGTTACTCTTTGATTAAACATAGATCAAGCAATAAGGTTATTAACTCTTGTCAATGCTGATCTCAAATATAACCATACACATTCATCAGGATACAGTAAGTTACAAGAATGATGACTTTGACTAAGATCGTCGATTTCACATGCTTCACACTGTTTTTCCTTCAATACTTGTAAACTATGGTTTACTTGTTCAGCGTTTATATTAATAAAAATTGATTTACTCTGATTATTCATTTTTCATTTCACTGTGAACTATAAGCAAATAATTATATGTTATGATATACTTACGTTTAAAGGCTGGTTCTTCCATTTAGTGGAACTGCATCAGTCTGATTATTACTAATGAAAGGGACAGGGTGTTTATATTTGAAAAGTGACTCAGATTTGACTGAACTTTAGACTTTTTGTTGTAGACAGATATTAAAAATTAAGGTTATTTCTGAAATTGTAACTGAGATTATCAATACTATTCAGAAACAGTAATTCTCTCACCATTCGAGTACATACAAATATAATTCGTTGTACTTTATATTGAAATCGTAAATCTCATACATTTCACATGTTGATTATTTACTGACTTTTAAATTCAGTGACATACAAAAACTCTAGTTAAACTATGGTGAACGTTAAATTTATGTAGAAAATATATGATTGTGTAAAGTTTGAACCGTTTATTTTCAATATTAAGTATATTGTAAATGCATAAATATAGACAATGCATTATAATAGACTTGGCCAACTCAGAACTGACCTTTGTTATATGCCTGTCAATGACCTCGACTCAGTCTACTGATATGCAATATTTCGTCTGATATATAGGAACATTAAATATTAGGTGTTTCTGTAGCATTGTTTTGAAAATCTATATCTGTTAATTATATTTTCTGAGTCTGAAAAATTGTTGAAAATTATAACATGAGATAATTAAAATAATGATTAAACTGAACTTTTGACCGACTGTTGTAAAGTACAAGAATTGTTTACTATCGTTTATAAGCTTTATAAAACTATACACACTGAGCTGGAATGAACAAATAGTAATGTGGACATAATTTCTATGAAAGCTAATCCAACAAAATTATAAACTATGATGCTTATAGTATATTAGTGGTTAGGGTGCTTGACTCGCAATCTGTTGGTCGCGGGTTCGAATCCCCATCACACCGAACATGCTCACCCTTTCAGCCGTGGGGGCATTATAATGTGACGGTCAATCCCACTATTCGTTGGTAAAAGAGTAGCCCAAGAGTTGACGGTGGGTGGTGATGACTAGCTGCCTTCCCTCTATTCTTACACTGCTAAATTAGGGACAGCTAGTGCAGATGGCCCTCGTGTAGCTTTGTGCGAAATCCGTAACAAACAAACAAACAAGCACAAAGCTACATAATGGGCTATCTGTGCTCTTCCCACCACGGGGTATCGAAATCCGGTTTCTAGCGTTGTAAGTCTGCAGACATACCGCTGTGCCACTGTGGGGCCTACAAAATTTATTTAATGTTTTACTTACAAAGCAAAACTGAGAATTCAATGTTATGCCTAGTAAGATCATCTGCCAATAGAATTGTAGTAACACAATTCACCTAGGAGCATCAGCCATCTAAAATAACACTATCCATCTTCAGAAACACCAACAGCCTTTGTTAAACTTACGTAAGTTAAAACTATAAAGTAACATGTGTAAAATGAAACATTTTGTCATGAACAATAAAAATCATAGTTATATGGATAGCATAAAGCAAAGCTGGTGAAAGAGTAAGTTTGCACTAAAATAATGATTTTACTTGTAATATAATTAAATCTAGACATTGATGACATAATCACATATTGAGACACTCTATTATGGGATCATCATGGCGGCCTAGCAATGTGCTTTCTGGTGTCATTTCGTAGGTTTAGGAACACACTTTCTGGAAAACTTTTATTGTCATGACAACATCCGCCTATTATTGCGCCAGTGCTCTCTAGTTCCACTTTGTGAAACTATGACATTGCGCCTAATAACATGATGTCTGGTAACACTTCGTGGAACTATGACGTCACCGACTCTGGTGTCTATGACATCATAATCATCTCTACCCTCTCCCCCATTGCCTGAGGTCAACACACGTATGGCGCCCTCTGGTGGCGTGCCGTGCAGGTACTGCCCTAACTACTGATGTGTATTAACTCAACCGTATTGTGGCTTTTGAATACTGTTGTAACATTATGTTGTTTACTCATCCTCTGTATATTTTCAGAAATATCCCTGACTTAACGATATATGTCTATAACTTTCTCCCTCTTTATTTTCGGTGTTTACATCTTTACCAAACGTTATGGGTATGAACTGTTAAGGAGCGTTATATAGTGATGCGTTTTTTATTCGGTATTCTTGAAATTAGACAGTTTATGACGCTTGTCTTTTCACTGTTGGAGTGGATTGATTGATATTCGAGGTACTTATTTACAACTGTGGAATTCCTGTAAACTCCAACGGTATATGAGTAATGTGTATAAGTAACCGTCCAGTCGAGAAATATGAGTTTGTTATATTTTTCTATATCCATTGTGAACTGTATGATTCTTGTATTTTGTCTATAGCGTGTTCATATTACGAATTCATCACCAACATATCTGAACCAAATCTTGGAGCGTAGAGCTTACCAAATACTGGCTATAGGGGTGAGCTCATAGTTAAGCCTTTTGTTGTGGGTAATATTTATCACCATGTTGGAAGTAGGTTGTGTTGACACAAAGGGTTGTGAAGTCCCAGGGTCCGGCAGCGGGATATTCCAAAGCTCTCTAGAAATGCATATTACTTAATGAGCTAAAATGGCTACTGCTTTTTCATGGATTCACAAAGAAATTTGTCATATAAATTTCTTTTATGACAAATCAGCAAAAGTTAATAAATAGAATGAAAGGGGGCCCGATGATATTACTGACTCTGAGGCTTGGGCTGGTTCTCGACGCCCCTGTCGGTGTTATATCTTTCTTTTATGGTATCGTTAATGGCCAGTCAAAATTAATTTTTAGGGTAAAGTTTTTACTAGTTTTATAGCCTTAATAAGACAGTCAACATTTTAATCTGTTTACGATATCACAGACTGAATGTTTTTACGAATTGTAAAAAAAAAAACAAAAAAAAACTCTACATTAGAGACACCCGTTGACGAGAGATAGAACTTTTGATTTTTATTTATTATCATATAAATGTTGTTGCGAATAATGGAGGGCGCTAGTGTCAAACCGAACTGCCTGGTAGTCGACCACCTGTGATTCAATAACACTCCCAACGGCTCCTAATACGCTGAACAAACTTGTAGATAAACTATACAGTGATATTAATGAAGCCTATTAAAAAACATTTCAAGAACTTATCGCCTCAAGCCAGTACACGTAAGATAACCTGCTTGACAGTCAGCAAACGGTATATTACCTTGAACACGTGTAGCCAAATTGGTATTTTACAGATTTATGGATATCAATCTGCAGAATGTTTTTCTAACGAATGAGTCAAGTGGCATAAGGGAAAATGTAATCAGAAGTATGCCGTAAGTGCAATTTATCGTTGGTTGAGATTGCTAATACTGACCTCTATTTATTTGAAGATGAACATTCTTCAATTGGGTAAGCGGAATGAAAACATATCATTTCAATTTACATTTAAACGAGAGTTGTGAAGTGTTGGCTTCTCGCTGTTGTCGGGTTAAAGAATAACGAACAAAAAAGGTCTACCGTTCATCTTCTGGAGGGGGAAAGAATGGATAGTTTTGATAAAGAAGAGGCAAGTGACATTGTAAATAAATATGAAGAGACTTTAAAATACCTTCGAACGTTGTTGTTGAAGAAAGACGAAGAGATTCAAACTTTGAGGAGTCAACTAGACAAGTTCCAGTCTGTGTTCATTCCAGGTTATATCCGTAGCGGTAGCGGACGGAGAAAACATCGGGCCTACGGCATTTCAGCCGAACCACATTCCCTGCAAACCATTGAAGAGCTAATATCAACCAGGTTCCCCGATCATCCTAAATCAGAGAGGTATTTCTTCCCATAAACATGGTATTGTGATAAGTAAACATGGATTTATAAATATCACTATTATCAGTTTGAAATATGTCTTTACTTGGGCATAAATATTTGATATGTGTTTTAGCACAGTATCCTATAGTTACCACGTGTTTGTGAATGTGTTTGTTTGTCAGCGAACTACTTCCACAGCTCAAAGCTAGAAGGACCAAACTTGACATCGGACTCTGGTTGGCTTGGAGGGTGTCCTTATCCATATGGCGCATCCCTTCTACTAAAGGGGTGGGGGTTAAAACGCACCCTAATGGTCACCCAGATCTGATGGGGGTTTATGAGTAGTTTTTAAGGTTACTGAACTCGAATCTGACATCGATTTCATGTTCCTGCCTCCTTTCGGGCTCCCGGGGCACTATGTTTGAAATAGAGTTCATATTATCACATATACAAACTAGCTGAACTAGACGTGGCACACGTGCTCAGGTACCACGAGCAGGTGTTGCAACAGAGTTTGTTTTCGAGTACGGATTCCCCCTCTCCTTGTAAAAATAATTGGAGATAACGAGGATCTTGATCGGTACATTTGGGCCTCTGTGAGAGGGTTTTTTAACCCCGAAGCAGAGGGCGAGTATTTTATGCTATTAAATATAAATGTTTGATCTCCATCATTACTCTATAATTTCATTCGTCAAAATAAAAATAACATGATTAATTCTAACCATCGAATTATCGCATAGAGTTTTAGCAAGACATTAATTTATATGAATACATATTTACAATATGTATATTTTATGATTTATCTTTTGTTTTGCATTTTAGATATTTTGTAGAATCTCTTTAAAGATTGTGCATAATCCACGTTTCTCATACACGTGTATTAGGAAACTCAAACACGCCACTACATATAAAAGTGTGTATTTCATATGAATCAGCCAAAGCCTATAGTGCTTTTGATCTAACATGACACTACGTATACAAGTGTGTATTTCATATGAATCAGCCAAAGCCTATAGTGCTTTTGATCTAACATGACACTACGTATACATGTGTGTATTTCATATGAATCAGCCAAAGGATATAGTGCTTTTGATCTAACATGACACTAGGTATACATGTGTGTATTTCATATGAATCAGCCAAAGGATATAGTGCTTTTGATCTAACATGACACTACGTATACATGTGTGTATGTCGTATTAGTTAACCAAAATGCACCTCTGGTTTAAAATATCATAACAACTATTTGTATACAGTAAAATAACCACACTCCACTGCGGGATTCGAAGGCCCCTTCATGATTCACAGAGGCCCTAATGTACCAATGAAACTTCTACATTATTTCCAGTTACTTCTATAGCTACCCCCAAAAGTGTCTGTACTAAAAAAAGAAAAAAAAAACTTGTGAGAGGGGTTATGAATACAGTTTTAAACATGCCGCTCCCATCCAGATGGGTCCCAGGAGCATAAAAGCCGATGCCAGATTCGGGCTAAGTTACCCAGTAAACCTACTCTTACATCCTTATCTTGCCTGAGATCTTCTGGGCAACCCCTAGTCAGAAATCAGAAAATCTATTGGACATGTTAAGAACATTTCGGAGCACTATTCTAAGACTCCTGATTTTTGCTGGTTATCAGGAGTGTAAACATATTTCGCTTTTTGTTTCCCGTATATTACTCTATATCAGTGGTGAAACTTTCGTTTCAAAAGTGGAAGGGGGAACATACAGTAAAACTAGGGTATAAAAGTGGGTATTCTCCGAAAATAAAAGACAAAAAAGTTTTTTTCCATGTTAACTTTTTCCTTTTTATCTTATATTAATGCTCCCCAGTGGCATAGCGGTACGTCTGCGGACTTACAACGCTAGAATCTGGGTTTCGATACCCGTGGTGGGCAGAGCACAGCTAGCCCGTTGTGTAGCTTTGTGCTTAATTATAAACAAACAAACAATTATATTAATGCAAAACATTCACTGAAGAGCAGTTAATCAACATTTACAAGATTTTAAAACTTTCAAAGATCTAGTTGCATAGTGTCAACACAACCAGTTTGTCATATTGCATTTTGCGTAATATTAAGGTATCAATACAACTTATGAAACAATAATAACCTTTACATCAGCAATACTTAGTGTAACTCGAGGGAGTCAAAATAAATTAACTTGCTGATTTTATTAGTGATACAGTGTAAACTTTAGTTGAAAATATTATTCAGTTAAAACATCTTTGAAAATAAAACGCATGAACAAAACTGTTTATACTATTAGTCTTTAAATAAGCATTGCGTGAAGTAAGTTTAATATATTATCAGTACCTCTTTGTTATGGTATGTATCTTGGCTATTGCAGCAGGTGACATTTCTATGAATTAATTCCTCATTTCCTACATTAGTTTTGTGACCTAGATTTGAACAGAATGTCAATATCAAGAATGATCCATTGGTTATGAAAATTCTTGTTTTGGTATACCAATAAAATAACCATAATCATCATAGTAAACTAAAAACAATTAGAAGCATAACTGTAATTGCCTTTAGAAGAAAACACATTACAATGCAGTTCTTGTTCTTTTCCCGTAGCTTAACCTATTGTAGAGTTAAGTTTCAAATTGTCTACGCCAACCAGTATATAATAATATCTCCCCTGTTTTTCTAAAGTGTCGAAAATATTCTTGCGCTGGTCATTTGCAACAATAAATTGATGGCAGAGTGTTTTTCTTTCCAAGTGATCAAGTTGTTCTTGATGAATGTGGTAAATGGCTACATTGTTCAAGCAACCTTGTATCATACAATTACGAAGCCAGGTTTCAGTCTTCTAAGAGCATTGAAGCTCCTATCAGTTTAACAGAGGAGACAAAGACAACCAACAGTAACCTCTCTAGGACCTTAACCTGATGAAAAAGGCCACAGACCTCATGCAGCATGTCCCTCAAGATTTTCGCAGCTTCAGTGCTGGAACTGTAAGTGTACGTTGAGATTAACATGGATAAGTGCACATTTAATGTCTTCCTGGTCAACTCTAGGTATTGGTCCATAACAATGTCAGCCTGTCCACTGAAGATAACTTTCTCTAATTTTTCAAGACTTTGCAGGCCTTTCTGGTCAAAAAGCTTTCCTAACTGCACATCTACAGTATCTAGCAGCTTAGAATACTCAGGAGATGTTGGTGCATGTGCAACAGCTTCACTGGTAAAGCACTTGGATGGTTTCCTCATGTGTAGTAACTGAATTGGATAGATATTCAAGTAGTTGATTTATTCGGTTACATTATTGTAAGCAATGGTTTATGTTCTCTTTTACAAAGAACGTTCTAGCATCCAATTCCTCCATCATTTCAGTGGCTAGGATTAGTCATAGGACCGATTTCCCCTTGTAAAATATTTCCAGAAATACATTTACTTTAGTTTCTGAAGTTGGTGCACTAGATAAAGCCATCTCTTCCAAATAAAGCAACACTGGCTTGTACTGGTTGAGCACTGACTGAATAGCTGGGGTATGAACAGTCTATCTTATGGGGCACAGCAGTTTCAAAGTAGTGTAGGATCCACTCTCTCACTTTGTTATTGTCCCAAATATTACCTTGAATTTACCCAATTGTCCAAACAAGCATCTCAACTCGGGAAATGAAGACCACAATGAACATAAAAAGCTAGTAGCCCTTCTTTTATTAAAAAAGCCTGCACACCAGAGTATTGACTCGACATATTTGCAGTACCATTGTAAGTTTGCCTACGAATACTGGAAAGGGGTGGATTGAGGTGCAGTAAGGCATCAGTGGCAACCTTCGATATTCTTTGTCCTGTAGTTGAAGACATTTCATAAAGACCCACAAATTCTCCATGTGGCACCAGATATTGATCCACAAAGTGAGAGAGACTGACTCTTGTTCAGTGCCAATTATATCTTGTGTTTCATCAGTGATCACTGAATATTGCAGAAATGGAAGAGAACTGATGATTTGTTTTGCTGTATCTTTCACAAGATCTCATTTTGAATTTTAGGACAGGTATAATCCTGATTATGTGTCAACCACTTACAGAGTTTGGATCATCCCCTGACCTCAACTTCATCAGCTAGCTTAGATCCCCCCTTTTTTTTCACATGGCCACCAAGAGCTTGCCATACCAAAAACTACATTGTGCTTACAATCTTGAATAGGCAAGATTTTATCTCTTGTTGCTGTGACATCAGAGAGCTGGATGTTTAGTAGTCTTGCCTCCTGAACATGATTTACCGCTGCTACCTTATGCAATTGGTAATCAGCATGCTTTGAACACCTCTCTAGGATTTTTTTCCAATTTCTAAATCCTGAGGATGCAATTGCAGGGTCTGCATTTTTGGCGAGAAATGACTTTCCTCTGAAAGTTTTTGTGCAATAAAAGCATAAAACTCCTTTGAAACAAGGGTTGTAGTAGAGCCAGGGAAAATCTTTAAACCATTTCTCCTGAAAATGGAGAGACCTTTTTGTCAACTTTTGATCTATAATGAACCTTCGTTTTGGCTGATGTTGGGTATATCAAGTTCATCTCTTTCTAACTCTCCTAACTCTGTGTCTTCTGCCTTAAATGCCTCTGTGCTCTGCAGATGTTGATGGTAAGCTGATAATTTTCTTTCCTCCTCACTAGTCTACTTGTCTGCACATTTTATGTCTCTGTGACGTTGATATTCATACCCATTCTACTGCTCTACAATATACATAACAGCAAAAATACTAAACTCGTGTACCACAGTAAACCTCTTAACACCTCTTTCTAAATTACCTTACAAATAGGGATTCTTACTTTACATTTAAGCGTGTAAAAGTGAATGAAATAATACTGGTAATAATAATATAATTAGTAATAAGAAGAGGAAGAATATAATTTTAATGAGACACTTCTCTAAAAGGGTTTATACAGATTCTGTTTGAAATTAAGATATTGCTATCTAGGTTAAATAATGTTTTATAATTAAAGATGTGAATATATTGTAAAATAAGACCTGGTACAGAAAGAAAGTTTTATTATATCCTAACAACTAC